CGGGTGCTTAACCCCCTGTGACCACGGCTGCTGCCAAGCAACTTAAATACGCATTCTTAAATCTGCATTTTAAACCCTTAGAGTGTTTTATTTAAAAGTACACTACTTCTATTTATAGAGTACATATGTGTTTTTTATTTTACAAAGGCTCTAGACCACGGGTACCGTAAGCAAAGAGAGAGGGCCACATTAAGGTGAATTTTCAAAGAGCTTTGTACCATACGCTGCTATGAGTGTCGCTTTGTAAATTTAAAATTGTTTTACGACCACCGGGATTAAGATTTCCTTTGTCTCATTGCATTGTCAAGTCTCGCACATAATGCATTATTATTTATTTTAGGTTGAGTGATTTTGTTTATTTTTAATAAGGTTTTTTTACACTACAATAGGGTATACCTACCTATTTTCGTCTTGAAAATATACTACAAGAAATATAGCAAGTTGTCGCTTATACGGTGTAGACATCAGAGCATCTTAACAATCAACAGGACCTGGATTCGATCCCTAACGGGTCCAACATTTCTCTAATGAATTCATAACTCTTCTAAAACATGTTGGTTTTCGTCTGGAAAACTGGATATCAAATGGGTGGTAGGAATATCGAAATTCCATTCGGATCGCGAACTACCGTTACAGATAAAAATGCCGCGAAGCTTGATCGCGTTTCGATTTTAGTCTGTAGATTTCTGAATTCAAAAGACAAAATAGGTCGACAGACTTGTATTTTTATTTTCATGTTTAATGGCTATTTTCGTATAATCGTTATTTTTTTTCGGTATACAGTTTATAATTAGTAATTAATTGCTTTTAAATTTTATGAATTTATTAAGTCATTTATTAACTTACTACCTGTGCCCGCGACGTCCGCGTAGAATAGTGACTTGGGGTAGAATTTTTTATTATTTAGGCTGTTTATTAATTTATGTAAGAGCGCATTTAAGGCAGCCAATCTATTTGTAAGTGGTACTTTGCCGCAACACTGTCACCTACTCTAACTCCCACTCTCATTCCTACACTCATATATAGATATAGATAAATAAACGAACCAAAAAACTAGTTTACAACGTTTTTCTACTGGAAACCTACATGAATACTCACTTCACCTAACTATGACTTTCTATTTTCGTAAGTGAGACATAATAGCAGCAAACTATCCAATTTACCAAGTACACATCACTCCGAAGTGATTGGCGTGACGAGGGTTAGTTTTCAAACACTGTAAACTTACAAATATTTGTTCATTGCTTAACGTAATATAATATGTAAATTTGTTTAGCCATCCAATATACTAATATAATCATAATTTTAACCTATTCATATGTCACTGGTTGAGTACTCTGTAAATATTAATATCAATTCTACATTGAAAAAATGGTTGGAACAACAGAACGGAACGCTGTGGATGCCGGTTCAAGGCCTGCCTGAGTCGTAAGTCTCAAATGATAAATATCTCTAAAATCTAATAATAAAAAAAAATAATTTTATGAGATAGGTAATAGTGTATAAGTTCAATAAAATATTTTAATATAATAAATTTTAAAATAAAACACCTGAACGGTTAAAAACACGATATATATTAGTTTCGGATTGTTTCGAATGCTTCGCAGCAGCCGTGGTCGGGCCATAGTTCAAAAAATTTCCAAATAAGTTTAACTAATATATATCGCGTTTTAAACCGTTAAATTTAAATGTGTACTACTCGCGGAAACTACAGACAGTATATAATACACTATTTCTTCTAAGGTTTCGTCGTAAGTGTCACTTCTAGTGTTCATTAAAGACGTACAAAATACAATCATAACAAACCACTACAATTAGATTGAGTCCAGTTCTGCCATAATACTTGAACAAATAGACAATGTTTCGAGTATTGTTTTGAGCTTAAAGCTTAGAATATAAGTGGGCCGAAGCAACTTTAAGCTTTTATCATGCTATATAATGGACGATGAAAGAAGTCATTATGAAAATATTACAGTTGATATCACTAGTATAATGCATATAATATTTTGAAATAGCGTCAACTATATGTTAGTAAGTAAGTTCTTTTCTCAATATCTAGAGAGTTGTAGACCAATATAGAATTTTTGAAGTACACGAGTTTAAATGCTAGCATAAAGAAAATATAATAGAAGTATTAAATTCAATATTTGAAATTCATTGGTTTTTTACATTTCACTTCTAAATTCTCGTTTGGCAGAATTTTTCTTCTTATCAACGTAATATGCTATTTATAAATAATAGTAATAAATTTATAATATAATAACTATTTAAATTTAAATAACAATTTTATATATTTACAACAAGCATCAACTTGAAAAAAACTTAAGTTAAACAGTTTTATTTTTTGTGCACTGGAAATTACAAAAAATTTTAAGTTGTGAGATAATCATCGAGTTTTACTAGTGTACTTTCATTTGATACCCATATTGAGGGGGATTAAGGAAAAATATGTAAGCCGCCATTTTGTATGGGCGGCCATCTCGGATTTATAATGTTATTGATTTTATTATATTGTATTGTCATCTAAATTCAATGTATGTACCAAATTTCAGAGCAATCTGACAAACAGGAAAGTGTTTAAATTTCAATTTCTAGTTTTGACACAAATAAATAAATTCCGAGCTAAATAAAACTATTTAAAAACATATCTATTGAAGTTCCTAATATAGCATGATGTTTAATAATGACTGGAGAACAATAAGCTATGCCAAGTACGGCCGATATACCCATATTTTCTGTATTACGGTTGTTAAAATGAAATCAAGGAAATTAAAGGCATTAACATTGGGCGGGCTAATTTCTTAGTCTATTGAATCCTTACGCGGGGAAATTGTTCGGTCGCAGCTTGGGTTTCAATTAGTTTCCTTAAAAGTACTTAGAAAGTCGGAGGTTTACGTGGCCGTTTTCCTTGAATTAAATCTTTCCACGCTTTGCTTAGATTCGTTTCGTAGTTCTCAGTAGCGAAGGCTTATTTAATATTTCAATACAAAATACGAGATCAACTTCTCTATGTCTTTTTGTAAAGGGATGTAATTCAATACTGTCTGTAGTTTACGCGAGTAATACGCATTTAAATAAAACACTTTAACTTTTAGTTAATATTAGTTAACCTAATTTAAATGCTTTAAGTACAACTCGAAGTTTTGAATTTTGCAGCAGCTCTCTCTTCGTGACCACCGTATACAAGTATATTAAAGGTTTTGTATGCACGAGCATATTTTTCAAGCTCCTTAGTTAATGTTTACATATATAGGGCGTTTTAAACCGTTAAAGTGTTTTATTTATATATGTGACTATTTTAAACATTAGTAAATATTAAAAATATACGGTTTAAATTTTAATTGTAGGGAAATAGTTCTCGGCTTACCATGTACGTATCTACTAAATACTTTAAAAATTACATTTTTTTTACGAACCTACGACGAATAGCATTGGTTGCGCTTATCGATTTTCAATCTAAAATTGTTTCTGATATATTGGCCCTTATCTGTATTGATATAAAAATTATCTATCTGTTCGGCTTTAACTCCGAAACTACTGAACTTATTTAAATTATTAATTTGGTACACAAAATTTTAGAACCTGAGAAAGGACTAAAAAAAAGAAAGGCAAGGAGCCTTTCTTTTTTAACCGCCAAAAAGCTTTTTGGGAATAGGAGTGGGGGTGGTGGTGGGAGTGGAATCAGAATGGGAGTTAGAGTAGGAGTGTTGTGAAGTGAGAGTGTTGCGGCAAAATAGCACTTACAACAAATTGGCTCCTTAATGCGCCCTTGCATAAATTAATAAACTGCCTATATATATAAAAATTCTACCCCAAATCACTATGCTACGCGGACGAAGTCGCGGGCACAGCTAGTAGAATATATAATGCTCACGCCAGACGGATTAGGTAATTTATTTGTCTTTGATGTGCTCACCTTTAATTACTAAATATTCTGAAATGTCACAAACAGGCATGCCCACAAGTACCAAGCATTAACCTTTAATTATTAATTTATTGTGTTGCTATTGCCCGCTTGTATAGCGGACTAAAAATTGTATATGTTTGATACTTTTTGTGTTGTTACTGTACTCAGCTGTTGTTAGATGCCAAAAAGGTAATACATGAAATTGTTTTAAACTATAATATATGTACAATATTGCGAAGCATAGAAGATGATAATCTAACTTGTATAATGTCTAGATTGTTTACTACGCAAAAAGTTAAAAAAAATATTATAATATAATTTAAAACAATACTGATTTCCCTGACCGTAGTATTTTATTCTCACAGTTATTGTAATCCATAAATCCTTTATTATTATATTATGTTTTAAACATATTAAAAGTGTACGATCATAGATGACGTCATAATATAATAAACGTTTAATTAATTACAACAACAATATCAATTACAAATCACAATAGAAAAATAAAGTTACAGTACCTACAAAAATCATAAGCGGTTTGACATACTTTCCCTTATCTAACAATTTGCACTTAATTTTTGTTCTATATTGTTCATTAGAACTTATGCTAGAATGACACGTAAGAAGAAAAATCATGTAATGTTCAAATTAACAATATTGCAGATTTCCAAGCACTTCAATAGAATCATCATAAACCTTCTAATTTAATATTTCACATTGAAAGGTGCCGAGTATAAACTCCGGCATTGCAGCAATTTTTTTGCGCTTAGGTGTATCGCGGATTTGATAAATGACGTCGCGTGTCAGTCCCTTGTTCAGTTATGAGGTGTCAAACGCCGACGTCACATGAAAAATTGGTAAAAAATATAATATGTGAGGTACGTTCCATTTGCGGTGGTGTTATTTAAGAAATGTCATCGCATTGACTATGTTCTTTTAAGGAATTGCTTGGAACGTTATCCTGGCTTTTTCTATGCCCCAAGGTTTCGGAAACTCCTTCCTTTTTCGATGCCTACGCCGTCTCATAAATGGATGGAGTTTTAATCAGTCCGAAATTTCCGAATGTCGAAAATTAATCTTTCTTAATTTCAAGATGGCCATGCTTCTATTTGTCGTGAATTCTGCGTGTTCAACCGATTACGAAAATATGTTTCTATTATTAGGTTTGGGTTCAGGAAGGTAATTTACTCTAGGTGCTAGTTTAACGTTTGAATTAAAACATTTATTTGATGTTTCTTAAAATACTTTGGAAAATAGTTATACTTTATAAATTATTTTTCAGTTATTTTTTTTAAATAAAAATATGCTTCACAGTAACATATTATGACTTCCGATGATGCGCCTAGCACACGATCGACTTTTAATCTCGCATATTTCCAAATATTCTGATCACAAACTATCGTTCATAAATGAAAAACTCAGTATAGTGCTCCTCAAAATATATATTGTCGAATACTATAGTAAAAATAGAGATTAAAGGCGCATTTTATTTTCACTGAAAATTCTTAACACAGCTCGCTGTAAAATATCTAAAAGTCGATCTTTTAGATATTTTACAGCAAGCTGTTAATAATAATTAAATAATTAATTAGTATTTCGCGCTTTAAACACTTTGTTTGTCATTATACTTTCTAACATATTCCCTCGTCCCATAATTTATTTGAACAAAATGGAATCAACAACATACTTTAAATTATCATCTGCGCCGGACAAGTGTAAGGAAGTAATCAAAGAGTATTTCCTGCATCAGTCCCGGGGGCGACATTTAGTTAATTACGGTTATAGTTATATATTAGCACTAGCTGTGTCAGCGACTTCGTCCGCGAAAATATTCATTTTCGGCATTCAAATTTGTTTTTGCTAACCCCTTCATCTTTATAAACTTAAGCTGTTACCCATGACGTCGGTCGCGTCCCTTCCTGTCGTTCTTGCAAGTTAATCTTAAAAGGTAGATATAGCGTTGCGGACTTTTTTTTAGATCTATTAAATAGGAATCATTCTTCTATGCATATTTTTTGGGTATTCTGAATAGTTTTTGCAAAGTACGACCCAATTGAAGTCAAAAACACCGAAATTTCAATAGCGAGGACGGCCTCAAATTATCAAACACCTGGGAATCCCAGGTGTTTGATCACACGCATCAAAAACTCTGGATCCAAATAAACATAATAAAAAAATAAACAGCATACCGGCAAACGCGAAGACACCGTTAGTCAATTCTGCAAGGACCCGGCCAGTTTTGCCAAATACCAACTTCGACGGAACAGATGGCGCTAGCGTAGCAATTTTTTATTTTGACGTCAGGGACATCCTCCATCTTTAGTCTCCCCGTGACCACGGCTGCTGCAAAGAATCTGAAACGTCGAAGTAACGAAGTTAAATATAATTTTCAAATAAGTTTAACTAATATATCGCGTTTTAAACCGTTAAAGTGTTTTATTGAAATACCCATAATGATGAATAATTTTCCCATTTTCTTTCACATTTCTCTCTGTACTGTTGCCTTCCTCGATAAATTGGTTAGACCACCAAAGTTTTTCCAATCAATCCGTAGTTCCTGAGACTTGCATTATAACAAACAAACAAACTCTTCGACATTATAATATATTAGTATAGATATTAACTTAGGTATATTGTAAAGATACGCATAATTTATGCCACAAATCACACGTGGCTTAATTTAAACGCTGCACAGTTTTCACGAACGTATGTACAAATGTATAAAGAAACAAAATAAATGAATATATTGCTTTAATGAAATGTATAGTGTAATAATTAGTATTATGTGTTGTCGACAGTCGTTCTTTCGTGCGATGAAGAATACCAGTTGGTACGACATCTCATGGATAAGTACGACCCTTCAGTGCGGCCCGTGGAAAATTCTTCACATCCCCTGCTAGTCACTTTTGGTGTGTCCCTGCATCATATTATTGACGTTGTAAGTACATTTTTATTTTAAAAAATACTTGATATAAAAAAAAACTAATTTAAACGGGTAAACTAAAAGAAGCTTCAGTTGCTTTTCAGTTGTGGTCACGAGGGACAATAATACAAAAGCTACAAATTGAATCGCGTTTTAATTAGTTTTATTTGAAACTGTGCAACTTGGCTGAAATAGAGAAGCAATTTATTTGCTTATACAGTTTATAAAAGGAAGCGTTCTAACTTACGATGTATATAATATTATTATGTGTAATTGAACTGATGTATTTTACTAAGAAGTTAAATATTATTTTATTGTTTCCTAACTTTGTAACACCTTTTCAAGCATTAACTAAGATATTATATCGAAGTTATGTTTAAATAAAACACTTTAACGGGTTAAAACGATAAACGTTAAGACGTAAAACGATATATTTTAGTTAAACTATTTGAAAATTATTTTTAACTACGGCCCGACGTTTTGGATGCTTTGCAGCCGTGGTTATGGCGAGACTAGTCGTCAAACTGTTTTATTTAATGTGTACTACTCGAGTAAACTACAGACAGAAGTCTGTAGTTACGTTGTATAATAACTACAATACTATTAAGTTATGTAGTGACTCATTTCAAAGCTTAATAGCGGATTGTCTACGAAGATCAAAGAGTCCTGGCTTCAAATTCTAGGAAAATAAGATAAGTAGTTCCGGCATTAAGGACTCATCTGGTTCATGACTTGCTAAACAGTGATATAAGGAAATACTGCCTATAGTTTACGCGAATAGTACACAATTTAATAAAACACTTACGTGAAACTTATTTGAAAATAATTTTAACTGCGGCCCGACGTTTCGGAGGCTTAGCGGCAGCCGTGGTCACGGGGGGCCTAAAGATAGATGGTGTTTCTGATGTCTGAAGTAAAAACTGCTAAGCTGACGTCATCTGCTCCGTCGAAGTTGGTATTTGGCGAAACTGGCCGGGTTCTTGGAGACGCGTCGGGCCGTAGTTAAAAAAAATCGAATAAGTTTAACTAATATATATCGCGTTTTAAACCGTTAAAATGTTGTCGATGAGAAATTGCGTTCAACTATTTAGTCTTCCATCAATTGAGTTTATGACGTTATCATATTACTTACCCGCATAAACTCAAAACGTCATTAACGCGGTCGTAACCGGCACTTCACATGTTTGAATTGAAACGGTTAAATTAAGTAATTTATGTCAACGAATAAATTAATTACTCGCAATTTGCTCTTACTGTACGCGTGAATTTCGGTTTGTTCCATCAACGAGTCGCTGGTGATCAATGAATTAGAAATAAATTTGATTCAATACTTGTTACGAAGGGCTTGCTTATCTAAAGGTATGGTTAACACGAGGCTGCTAGTGGCAGAGTGGCCTAACAAAGAACGTGACTTTCAATAAGAAAATAATAATCAACAATCAACTTACGCAAAAATGAATTTCAACTATTATTCGTGTGAGAATTATTTTAACAAATTTTAGTCACTGTGTTTTTGAACAGTTTTAGACTATGAAATATTATATAAATAATTTAAGTCCTAAAATTGCAGTTAGGCTAGTCTGCCTCTAGCGGCCTCAAATATAATCAAAAATTCCAGGGATTGATTCCTACAAGATTCTAGATATTGTTAAATCGTATTCAATTTGGCCTAAAAATGTTACACCGGTCATATTTAGGACAAATAGAAAAATGTCGAAATTCTAATCGGTTACACGAATTTTTAGAACATCGCATTTAATTACATATTATAGAGTGAGAACATCATTTTCATTCAAGTAAATGCTCGTAATGCCAGTGCTTGCTCCTCCCTCTCTTTAAATAAAGGAACAGACTTAGCTCAAGCCGGTAATTCTTATTTTCAGACTGGACTTTAGGTCTGAGAAAATATCAAAGTTAATCATTATCATTATTTCTTAATCAAAAGATGTTTCATATATTGAATATGTATGGATAAGTAAATTAGTATTTAAATGAAACACTTTAACGGCTTAAAACGTAATAAATATTAGTTAAACTTGTTTGAAACATTATTTTAACTACGGCCCGACGTTTCGGATGCTTTGCAGCAGCCTTGGTCACGGGGAGACACGTAAATATCGCGTTTTAAACCATCAAAGTGTTTTATTTAAAAGTGTACTACTCGTGTACCTAAACTATAGACAGTGGTAAATTGGTATCTACATTTTTATTACAAAATCTGCAAGGAAAACATCACATATTTCAAACCCTATTATTTAATATAAAAAAAGTTATTCACGCGCAAACAATCTGTTGTAAAAAATGAAATCAATAAAAAAACAACAAGGGCAATTTGTCTTCATCGTGACAGCGAATTTTTAGGGACAAAATTTTTACGCAGGTATTAAATAGGCTACGCGATCAGAGTTCTTTGAATAAATAATTTCCGGGCGTGGTTGACTAAACATTAAAAAACAAACGCCCAAAAAAATGAATAAATATATTTCTGACGTCAGTGTCTTTTCTAGTGTAATATTATTAAGTAAAATAGCTCGGTTAAACGCACTAATCTCAGTAACTACAGGTTAGAATTGAAAATAAAAAAAAATGGACGAAAGAATAATTCCTATTTAAATTCTCTAAAAAATCTGCCACTTTTATCTTATCTATCTCTTGAGATTAACTAGCGGAAACTGCTTTTAATGGAATCAAATTAATGCACTACTAATTATTTGTTAGAGTTGTACTAACAACTAATTTTGCAAACAACAAGACAATGTTTTAAAGAAACTGACTCAGTTAAATACGAGATCCTGTGTTCGAATCCCGGTAAAACATAAGTCTTTCGTTTGGTCAGTGCATAGAGCTAGATCAACAACATACCTACACAATATGGCAATTGAAACGGCACTAACTCGTAGCATTAACTAAGTAATTGGTTAGTAATATAATAATAATATTAAATTTTATTATTGTTCAAATATTGAAGGTACTTAAACATTTATTTATTGTTGCGTCTATTAATTATGTAATCTGTATTATAACTTGTATGATATGTAGATCTGTGATAATTTAATATTGTTTAAATACATTTGCGTTACATTTATAGAGATATTTAGGGGATATGACGTGTTTCCTTCCCCGACGCTTGCTTAATTTCATAGATAACGTCGGAAATTTCATTTTCACCGCTCAACGCAATAAACCCGGAGTCACTATGACAATTCCTGTATAAATTCTGTATTTCGGCCCGTATTTTCGATTTCGATTCAGAAAAACGTGAGCTGATTTCATCGTTATTCGATTTCGTGTAAATGTAAGTCTAGGTGCCAACCAATCTTGAATACGAAACGATAAAAAATACCGTAGCTTACGCGAGGAGTACACATTTAAATAAATCACTTAACAATTTCTCTTAATACTAACTTCGACGAAACAAATGGCGTTAGCGTAGCGGTTTTGACTTTCACATTAGGAACACCCATCTTTAGTCTCTCGGCTGCTGCAAAGCGAAACGTCAAAAAGTAGTCAAAATAAATTGTTAGTAAGCTAACTTATATATTTCACGTTTAAAACCGTTAAAAGTGTTTTATTGAACAAAAAATTCTATTTCACGCTCGAAAACAGAATTATATAATGTTAAAATTTATAGGAATAAGTACTGGTTAAAGCGTATATGATACATGTACATTACGGAATGAATGTATTAATAATATGTTTTATGGCTTTTAATAAACTTTATACGAGAGTCAAATTAAAGTTTTAAAATCAACAGCTTTTTGCTTCTCGCAAGTACAGTCGCATCACAAAGCGTTAGAATAACTTTGCACACTTTAACTTTTAATAAGTAAATGTTTGCCGACCTACTTCATATATACTTACTGAAGCACATAAAAAAACGTTAAAAAATCTTTATATGTAACACAGAAAGTCTCTATATCCAAAGTTTTACACAACCCAAAAACCAAAATTGTATGGAATGGGGTGATTTGATAGTCCAATCTAGTTTAAATAAAAAAGGTCACACCGCGGGTGTTTCTAGTATGCTTGTTTGAACGCCCTTATCTCAGGAACTACTAACCCATCTTTTTTTCAATTCCACCAGAATTGAAAAAAAAATGGGTCGGTTAAAGAATATATATATCCATAATTGAAAAGCGTTACGAATACAATGGGTGGCGGAAAATGTACGAATCTTTTGTCGTGTAAATCATTCGTTATTTGCTAATATGGTTCATGTTAAACTGCCTTTAATTTAATAATTAATTGATTATGAACATACAATTCATTTTTAAATACCTACTCAAAAAAAATGGTTCTCTGCCTCTTCGCTGAAAATTGTTTGACGTATTATCACTTGTTTCGCCTATTTTTCAATATGACGACTAACGATTGCCTACATTTGTATGACAACGTTTCATTTGGTAAAATTATTGTTGAGCTGTCTATTGTAGTGACAAAAAGCTTTCAAACTCAGACTCTATTGGCATTACGAAAACCAAGAGTTCAAATGTCTTAACAACTAATAAAATGTCTGTAAAAAAACACCCCGAACGCATTCGTTCCACTCCAGCTTTCTTGATCCCGCGTAGTTGTAGAAATATAGATTTTACAAGGAAATATACACTACAGAGATCGTGTCTCCTCAAGCAACATTAAGTTTCTGAAATCATAATTATAACGTATACTTGTAGCGAAAATTTAAGAGTATTTAGTGAGGGCTCAACGTCAAATGTACTATAATTTGTTCTTTGCGGATTCACGCAGAGATTTTAACGACATAAAACATTTCGAGGATTCTAGAGATGCTTGAGGGTACATGTAAACAAATGGAATGGATATGAAGGGTTGGCTTTTTATATATTATCTTCTTTGTTTTAGTAATCTGCGTGGTTCCGCATATACAAACTTATTATTCTCCCACATTTTATATCGTGGCTTTCATAAATTACTTTCTGTAGCCGTGTAGTATTTCTTTGTCTTGAGAATTTTTTAAACGTTACCTCATTTTGTTTCTTGTTTATTATAGTATTGTATTGAAACTTTTCTTTATTAAGTAGTATTTATCTATCTTATTAAGTCAAATTTGTTTAATGCTGCATACTGCATAGGTTAATGGTAATTTCATGATTAAGGTTGTTTTTTTTTTCTAGTCTACATAAGATTTCACTATTTTAGAATTCGGTAAAGCCAAAAAGTACACCTATACGTCACATTAGTTTAAAACTAAAGTATTTAAATTTATATTTACTATCAGATCTAGAAATTAAGGGCGTAGAACGAACGAGAAGAAAATAAACTCACCGCCTATCTTTGCTTATGTCTACCAATCGGTATCGGCTCAGAGTGAATCAGACGTATGTGTTTTAAACTTTTATACAACTATTCCCAAATACTGTCTCTAGTTTATGCGAGCAATACACATTTAAATAAAAAACTTTAACGGTTTAAAACGCGATATATATAACTTCAACTTATTGAAAAAATATTTTATCTACGGCCCGATGCAGCAGCCGTGGTCACGGGTATCACTAAAGAGGGAGGGTGTCTCTGACGTCAAACTACTATAAACTATTCTTTATACTTAGTTTTCATGCAACTTTCATTGTGTTTTATAGCCATGTTTATATTAATTTTAAAGTTTAAAATCATCATAGTAATGTTAATCTTTTATAACGAACCATTTTCCGTCGCTTTCCGCAGGCTCGACTTCACCAAGAAACTCGTAAATCATGCCTTGTCAGAATCCAACGTGTATTTAAGATATCGGAGCGATATTTTGCGCTCTATTAAAGGCGTGTGTCAGCATTTCAGTTGCGTATGAGCCTATCATAATGACCTTTTTGATGTAACTTAAAATTTCGCAACGGAATCATGATTGTGCAAGATTTTAAAGAAATGTTTTTCACTGAAGGCACTATATAATTAAAAAATCGAAAATATATATTTTGTAAATTCATTTTTTCAATTGGTAGAGCAACAGCACGGAACGCTGACGTTGCCGGTTCAAGTCCTGCGCGAGTCGAAAATTTTATTAATTTATTTTAGATTTTTAACATTTGACTTGTACATATTATTCGGTAGAATACTTAAGTCGAGGTACTTTAATGGTGAAGCATGTACAGAATTTTTTTTAATTTTCTATTTTCACCACAATTTCTCATTAAACCGTGATATTAAATTACATTAAAAATCGTTTATTAGCTTAAAAATATAAGATAACCTAAAGAATCATGCGTTCTTCTATTTAAATTTAGGAAGAAAAAGACCAGCTCCTCACAACCAACTGCTGGATAACACAAATATGGACAGATCATCATCTAAGATGGAACATCAGCGATTTTGATGGAATCAGTGTAATAAGAATACCGTACGAAAGAGTGTGGAAACCAGACATCATACTTTACAATAAGTAAGCATATAATATGTACAATTTATTTAAGATTTAATGACGTCACCTGCGAGATTTGAACCCACAACCAACACTCATGTAATCTTGACCGTCATCCATCATTTAGCATTGCGAGAAATGAACGTATAAAATAATGTATTATCGTGGGTTTGATTCACACCTTTGCCATTATTTTTTAAAAACAAGCCTTAGTTTATAAGCTCTAGCGTTAGTTCGTGGAAAATAAAGTGACTGAGATAAGTATATAAGTAAATAAGGCCTTTAAAATTACACGCACGGTTACAATGAGATTAAAATCTATAACTATTAAAGCGATATCTTTGACTAGAGTTTTTGCCATTTTGCTAAAACTGCAAAATATTTTAAGTACTCATGTAAAGTAAGTCTGTGAACTTCAACTTTTGAAACTTAAACTACTAAACTATGCAGATAAAAGGTTGTTACAAATCCCTGTGGGTTAATGACACTAAGAGACTCTTTACTGAATTTTGAAAAAACCTGAATTAGCCTTTTGGCAAGAGTTTTCTGTAATTCCTAATCACTAACCGTATTTTTTGACATTTAACTTGCTTAGAATATTTACAATATAAAGCTAAACAAATAGTCTATCTGGAGGCATTCCATTTTATTTATTAATATAGTTCTAGTATTACTTTTATTATAAATTATTATTGTAAATCTCCATCTTCAAGGTTGCCTCGAAGAAATTGTTTTTTAGCGATAAGGCCGCCAGTTCTCGCTACATTTTTTTGTAATCTTCAAATTAAATCATATTTTTTTTGTAATGTTCTTGCAGTGACAATAAAGTATTTTTTTGTTTGTTTGTTGTTTAATATAGATTGATTAAGACACTTTAAATCATATCTCAGTGGTTAAACTATCACTACCCGGGAAAAACATAATAAGGGTTAAATATACTTATTTGTTTCGTTTTTTTATGTGTTAGAATTTATTTTTTATTGAGGAATACGATTGTCTTATTTACCAGTTGGATGTACACTTGGGCTATTTTATATAATCGTATTTAATCATAGACTACGACGCTTTAGTTACTGTTTAAAACAAGACTAAGTAATTGCTTTTCAAATTGGTAAATTCAATTAGTCAACCAAGGAATAATTGACATTGATTTAACGAAACCTGTAATTTCTATGCAAGAAACTCCTTTTTTAATACTGATATTGATTCCATCAACGACGACATTAAGTACAATATTTCCACCAGTGCAGATCCGAATTATCGATCAGCTGTGATCAACACCAACGTCATCGTGAAGAACACGGGCGAAGTGACATGGCTCAGTCACGGCATCTATGTCTCCGTGTGCGATATAAATGTCGAACAATTCCCATTCGACATACAACTGTGCACCATGAAGTGGGCTTCATGGACTTACGATGGGTTTCAAGTAAGTGAATTGAAAAGTTAAGAGAAAGCGTTAAAACTGATAGGTACAAAATAAAAAAGCATGAAATGTAAAATCGACTTTTTGATAGTACAGTAAGGCATGATAGATATTTAAATAAAACACTTTAACGGTGTAAAACGCGTTATATACGTGGTCACGGGGACCACGGCTGCTGCAAAGCATCCGAAACGTCGGGCCGAAGTTAAAAATCATTTTCAAATAAGTTTAACTAATATATCGCGTTTTAAACCGTTAAAGTGTGTTATTTAAATGTGTACCACTCGCGTAAGCTATAGACAGTATTTAAATTACAAATGTTGAAAAAGCGGTTAATTGAAACATTTTACAATTTAAAATACTGCCTGCACTACACTTAAGAATAGAAAAAAAGTTTAAATAAACAGGTCTATCTTCACCACTAATTATAAATATTTTTAAACTAATTTCTGTGTACTTATTTTTTTAGTTTTAAGTAATCATTGTTATTTACATAAAAAATATGCTAGATATAAAAAATAAGTTAACGATTTTTTCCTAACTATTTAGTTCTGTTTTAATTTAAATATATATGTTATGTGTTACCTATAAATATATACCAAATTTAATGTAATACAATTATTTAAGCCAATTTCCTATTTGCTGAGCGAATTCAAATTCTATAACGCTCTATTGGTGCAAGAGCTTAGCCCACGTTAATACTACATTGAAATTCCAATTTGATTGATACTATCCTCAAACAATAAGCCATTTTAATACTAGAAAGTGAAAGATAACACTTGGTTTTTAATGACCACATTCTACCTAAAGCTACGTAAAATATTGTATTTATTGTATATTAACACAACTCTTGTTTAATCTGTCGAAAACAATTAAGCTTTTCAATATGGCCGCGAAACCATTAAGAAAAACAAACGTGTAACTACTTCTCTACACGAAAAAATAATGCATACGCATTAATTGTATCTACAAGTCTTAAATATTAAATACTAGCTGTGCCAGCGACTTCGTCCTCGAAGAATTGTTATTTTTGCAAACCCCTACATCTTTATAAATTACGTATCTTCGCTTCTATTAGTCAGCGCGATGTTTTATAACCTTATAATATAGACCTTACTCGATAAATGTTCTAAACACACAAAAATCATTTTTCAATTCAAACCCGTAGGTCCTGAGATGAGCGCGTTCAAACAAACAAACATATTAACAAATAAACAAACAAACTCTTCAGCTTTACATATTCGAATCGATTTCCCACTGTTACTAAGCTCCTATTGGTAGCAGCGGGATATTTTATACACATCCACAAGTTGCATGTTGTGTTTGTATTATTTTATAACACAACAATACAACAAGACAATTTTCAATTCGAACCAGTAGTTCCGTAGAGTAATACCGATTGAGATTAGCGCGTTCAAAAAAACAAATTTTTAGTATTAGTAATAGATTTAAATTTATTAAGCAACTGACCCTGGAAAAGTGAAAAACTTAATACTTCCTTAAGAAGGTACAGAATCTGTGTCCATTCGGTATCCGATGTTGACTAATTTGAAATACGCCCGTACATTTGAGGCTAATCCGCGGTTTTTCAATTAGTGAAGGCTGCAAGGTGAAAAGTTAGTTTTCGTTTAGCTTGGAAAATGCGCTTTTAGAAATTAATTTGCAGTACTTATATAAATGGCCCTCAGTATACGGATTTAAAAAGAAATTTTCCAGTAGCTTAAGGAAAGAGTCTAAGATTAAACTTGCTTTATCTTTAAGAATTCAGAGTCACACTAATTTATGAATGAAGCTTTGTCTAGTGAATGCATTAACTGCAGCTTTTAAAATTAAAAAGTTAAATGCGAGGTAAAGGATTACTTCGACTTATTATTATGTTAAATACTGTCTATAGTTTACGCGAGTAGTACACATTTAAATAAAACACTTTAACGGTTTAAAACGCGATATATTAGTTAAACTTATTTAAAAATGATTTTTAACCTCGGCCCGTCGTTACTCCCCGTACTAAGCATCCGAAACCTCGGGCCGAAGTTAAAAATCATTTTCAAATAAGTTTAACTAATATATCGCGTTTTAAACCGTTAAAGTGTTTTATTTAAAATTATTATTATGTTACTTATTCAAAATGGAGAAGTAGATCTTACGGTTAGAAATAGTACTGGGTAAGTAAAATTCGGACTGGACCGTAGATCAATTGGTAAAGCCCAGGATTCGAGTCTCACGGAAGTATTAATGTAAAACGCAAGTATTGTCTATGTTTATGCAAGCAGTACACATTTAAATAAAACTATTTTTACGGTTGAAAACGCGAAATACATAACTTATTTACAATTTATTCCGAATACCATGGGTGTTGTAAAGTATCCGAAACGTGCGGTCGTAGTTAATTTTAAATAAGTTATCCAAATATATTTTGAGATTTAATAGACCTAATAATATTGTGACCGTGTCTCTTTGTATATGCTAAAAATAGGTCAACAGAGATAGCTTTGAAACTTAAAGAAAAGCTATCAAGAAATGGCAACTTCAAAATGGCGTTCATTTTTCATTTATAAAAATAAGAGGTTTTTTCAATCATGGAATATTTTCAAGCACCGTTCCCGAGAGAATTAATTATGGAACAAGTTTAAATATCTCTGTAAATAGCATCGAACATTTGTTCGCGTTTTTAAAACACTGTACCTCCATGTTCCGTCCTATCTCTATCTTGATAATCAACGGGTCGTGGATTCGATCTCCACCGGATTCAACATTTTTCTAATCAATTTATAATTTTTCTGAAATATATTGTACTTTTTTCTGAAAATCTGAAGAATCTGTAGTATATCGAAATTCAGTCCGGGCGCGAACCAACGCCCAAAGATTACAAAGCCTTCAAGTTTAATTGCGTTTCGGTTTTATTCTGTGGATTTCCGAATATCCAAAGCCCAAAATAGATCGACAGCGCTTCTTCTTTAGATATTGTATGAGGTATCACCTTTCATCGAGTGAACTCCGTACTCGTTTGACATCCTCTATACATATCTCATATATTATAATAATTCGTTCATTGCGTATTATTCAATATTTTTATCCTAACCTAACATAATCGATAAGGAAAACGTAACGTAACGTAAAAAACATATTATGATGAATACCGCAAAATATACAAAGAAAATCAATTTAAACATTTTCTTTTTAAGCTGATTTAATATCCCGTACAAATAGGATAATGAAAATAGGTAAGGAGGCGGATTTTATAGAGAAAATAGATTGATGAAAGAGAACTATCCGTTACGTAAGATTTTTACTAATACGGTCAGCAACGAGAGTCGACGTTGACTTATTAAAATTTTAGTTTAATTTACGACTTAATTGTGATTCGTTACCTAGATTTTTCTATCACAACGACGACTGGTTCGACTTAATCGTTAGAGAAAGTATAATGATTAGATTTAGAATTTCATCATCTAATACTAATTAATGCTGAAGAGTTTGTTTGTTTGAACGCCGTAATCTCAGGACGAACTACTGGTTCGAATTGCGAGCGAGCAAGCGAAGATGCGAGAAATGTGAAAAATTTGGGAAAATTATTCATCATTATGGTTGATCATACAAAAATTGTAGAAAGAATAATTTTCTTTAAATGATTTAAAAAAAGTGTTGTCTTTTTTAGAGATGGGAAGAAGGTGGCTTATTTTTGATTTGAAGGGAGAAAAGAGTGGATCCCAAAATAACTATTCTACGCGGACGAAGTCGCTGACACAGCTAGTTAAAAATATAATATGATGGTATTCGACTCTGGTTGCTGAAGTATCTTCATGCCTAGTGTTCATTTCTGAAATAGATGGAAAAATGTTCCTTCACATTCTTTAATTATCTTAATGAGTCTATTTTTGCGGTAATTAAAATATTTTACATTCTTGCTGAGTTGGTATCTCGTACTGTATATAGTTTACGCTAGTAGTACACACTTAATTATAACACTTTTAAAATTTTCTTTACTTATTTACAATTTATTTTCACTACGTCTACTAGCGCCCCCTCCCCCCCTGCCCCTCCTTGATTGTGACTGCTGATATTAATGTATGCAAATAAGTTAACCATTAAAAGTGCTTTATTTAAATGAGTTGATATTTCGAATTGCATTTTAAATATTTATTACGTTATTAATTTAAAATATCAATTAATACCTTTTATTTTTGACATATATTGACATTTCTGTTTTGACCTAAATCTCTTTTACGCCGCATGTGAAGTGTGCAACCTTTTAGAAGTCGCAACATATTCACGCTTTTAGACTTTGACAATTCTGTTGTTTAAAATTGGGCGAGATATTTTCTATAGACTGGCCTTGACAGTTTACTTTGAAGCGGGAAAAGTAGGAAAATTACATCGCACAACGTGTATGTATGGGGCAGTTTCTTAGTGGTAAATATTTTTTTGAAATTTAAAATCCCTGTAATTTTTTAATATAATGAATAAGAAACAAATCGGCAATTAACAGTTGGTGCGGGGCTGTTAATTAAATTATATTATATTGCATAAATAATAATAACAATTCTGGGATAAAAATAAATTTTATTTTATTTTCTAGCTGGACATCCAGAAGCAGTTTGATGAAGGAGATACGACGAACTATCAAACGAATGGTGAATTTGATTTAGTAAGCTTCGAAGCAATTAAGCATAACCAGTATTACTCATGCTGCGTAGAGCCATACCCCGACATTACCTACGTCATCAAGCTGCGCAGACGACCCATGTTTTACGTCTTCAATCTTATATTGCCATGTCTACTGATCAATGGAATAGGTAAGAAGTAATTATTTGTCTCAGAAACAACGTCTTTAGGTAGATATTAAGTTTAATTGATTCTTTTCTATTTAACGGTTCAAAACTCGAAATATATATTTTTTGTTTTTACGACCCGACGCAACGTTTTGGATACAATGCAGCTGTCGTGGTTACAGTAGGACCACTGCAAAAAATAAATAAGGAAAATACACTGCGCGTAAATAAAAAAATAAGCTACAAACAAAACTCTGTATCGTAATTAATAAATTAATTGTTGATATTAGTATTTTATAAACATTTTACGTATAACATTATAAACGTGGTTTTATAAACCAAAGAAAATGTACATTAGTGCAATTAGTAATCTGATACTGTCTGTTAGTTTACGCGAGTAGTACACATTTAAATAAAACACTTTAACGGTTTAAAACGCAATATATTTTTGTCTCCCTGTGACCACGGCTGTCGTAGTTAAAAATAATTTTCAAACTAAAATATATCGCGTTTTATACCGTTAAAGTATTTTATTTAAACGATTAGTAATCTTTTCATAATTATTTATTAAATGTTTTACTTATTTGATTGTTCCTATACAAATAATAATTTTGAATGTTTATAAAACTCTTACACCAAAAATTCTTTCAAATAATTTTTACAATATTTCTTATCATCCCATCAAGAAATAGAAGCGGTATTTATGTTTGTCTTGAAATAGTTTGTATCTACCATATAAAGTAGAAAGGACCCACTTGACCAAGATACAACTGAGAAAAGAATAACTGGATATATCTGTTTATGATTTATAACAACTCAAAGTACTTAAGGAGGTTGTATGTGAAATATATATCATTTTCCACAGCTCTATTGGTGTTCTATGTACCCTCGGAGTCGGGAGAAAAGGTTACACTTGGGATCAGCGCTTTACTGTCTATGACGGTATTTCTCATGACCATACGAGATACACTACCACCGACCGAAAAAACACCACTGATTAGTAAGTAACATGTTTGCAAGAAATATTTAGGATAGGAAGTAGTTTAAATTTTTGAAGCCAAAATAGGTCGTGAGTGTATCATGTTTAGCTGTTATGTGGCTGGCTTATTTTACCTTCCATCAAGTGAACCATAAGCTCATCTGTAAATTTTCACATTTTGATTGATCCAATAAATAAGATTTAAGTAAATAATTAAGTTATTTAAACTTCTTACTATTTAAACAAAACATTGACTTTTCATACATTTAAACGATACTAAAATATACGCTTATATTCGACACCTATTCAGCGACGTTGTATCAACGTAACACTATATATTAACAAGGTCTGGTACAATTACAACTAATTCCTTTTTATCCTACTAATATCCTTTCTTCTTTCCCTCAGGTCTTTACTATGGAGTGAGCACATGTTTGGTTTCCTTCTCAGCCTCTCTATCTGTTGTTACTCTTAATATATCATACAGGCAAGACGATGTTTGAGTATACTTTGTTGATTAAAAAAAATGTTCGATTTTTAAAAACCTCATGAAATTTACAGTCGATACAACTCGATATCTCTCCTGAACTTCAGCATTTCATACAATAGTTATAACTCCGTAAAACCAGTACGGAATAGCATTTCAAAGCTTTTTTCGCTTTAAACCGAGACTGAGTCGTTTATAGCAGATGGCAATTGACAAAGTGCTACAGATTATATTCAGAAGTCTATTTTGAGATGCCAGATACTATTCAATCATAGGCGATGTTACTGATATTATTGTCATCACTACTTTATCTTAAATTATAAGTGCTTTGTGATAGCGTAAGTAATCATAACACATTTTACTAGAAATGTGGTCATGATATTCCGTTTTTTGTGATGCATTATTTTTTGCCGTATCCTTGATATAATCAATAAGTGTACAAATTTACCGTAAGAGATAATTACGGGAAGCCTACTTACCTGGGAAGCGAATCTCCTTGCTATTTCCATTAATTATTAGTTAATGGCCCACTGTTGGGTGTAGCTCTCTCTTAAAATAATTTGAGAGCAATCTACGTTAGTCCATTAAGGTTGAGTGGGTTTACGAATAGCGTCCCTAAATTGTGTAACGATACTTTACCAGGACCGACAGCTTAGTGTTCTTTCTGAAACACAAAGAAGACATGAACTGGATTTTTGACATTTCCACGATATAGGATTCAAAGCCGGGACATTGTAAAATGAAAACATTTTGGTTTGCTATTGGTTATTACTGTTGTAATGGCCAATCGCCAAGTGTCCCGCTCGTGTTGTACATAGTAATGTTGTTCGTAGAGGAGTCAGAGGTCAGCCGGTGCCAGCGATGGTGCGCGAGCTGGTGCTGCAGCGTCTGGCGCGGGTGCTGTGCATCAATTTCGACACTGACGCTACAAAGGTAATATTCACGTCAATCTGTATCTTCACATATGCTAATCAACGAGTCGTGGGTTTGGTCCCCACCAGGTCCAACGGTCCAGCTCCAGGTCTTAGCCTGGATACTGAATGGATGGTAAGAATATCGAAATTTCGTCCGAGTCACGAGCAGATGGTAAAGCTATAAATTGTAAGTCAGCATTTCGGCTTTAGTCTCTTAAAGTCTCAAACCATAATGGGTCGGGTTTAAACCTTGCATTAAGTGAAGTCCATTTTGTCCTTTGTCAAACAAAAGTTCTTTTAAAAGTTACACTGATTGCGATAAATTGAATACAAAAATCTTAGGCGCCAAATCAAAGTATTCTAGCAAAGATAAATGTGAAATATGCAAATAGCTTTGAAACTTTGGATGGAAAAATCAACGCAATTACCTGCGAAGTTTGTGGTATTGATCGAGGATTTTTATAGACATCTATCAGTATGTTTGAAAACAAAGTTCATTTGAAAATTTATCACTAAGGGCATTAAATAAAGCATGATCTTTGAAGATTATTTGGAAATGTATATTGTTAATTCAAAATAGTCGTAAACGGTACCATAATCGTAGATGTTACTAGAATAAAAACAATGACAAACTAACTTTTTTTAAAATTTATGAAATGTTAAAAGAAATTCTATAATCTTCAACGATTTCAACATTCAACTTTTTGCCCTATAGCCCGTTTGACACCGATTAAAAAATAAAATGAAAATGGATTACATTTCTGTACAGTATGCTCTGTGAAGAGCTACCTGTATAAAATACATAATTAATTTTGATTGTAAATTTGCATACTGACTGACTTTGACTAACGCCGCATTTTTTTGTCTGTTTTTTTGTTCTGTGGCTGCCTTGCAAACGTTTTTTTGCCCTTTCAAGTCCTCCCCCCCCCTTTTTTTCCCCTTTAAAAGGTTTTTTGTGGTGTTTTTTTAAAAAAAGGGGTTGCCCGCCAGGGGTTTTTTTTGGGGAAGGGGCCCCCCTTTCCCCCCCCCTTTTTTTTTTTTTTTTTTTTTTTTTTTTTTTTTTTTTTTTTAAATTTTTTTTTTTGGCCCCCTTTTTTTTTTTTTTTTTTTTTTTTTTTGGAAAAGGGTTTTTTTTTTTTTTTTTTTTTTTTTTTTTTTTTTTTTTTTTTTTTTTTTTTTCCCCCGCGCGCGTTTTTTTTTTTTTTTTTTTTTTTTTTTTTTTTTTTTTTTTTTTTTTTTTCTTTTTTTTTTTTTTTTTTTTTTTTTTTTTTTTTTTTTTTTTTTACCTTCCTCGAAAAAGGTCCAACACAAAAAACGGGGCCCCCCCCGGGGGCCCCGGGGGGGGGGGGGCCCCCCCCCCCCCCCCCCCGCGCGGGGGGCGGCGCGCCCCCCCCCCCCGGGGGCCCCCCCCCCCCCCCCCCCCCCCCCCCCCCCATCCCCCCCCCCCCCCCCCCCCCCCCCCCCCCCCCCCCCCCCCCCCCCCCCCCCCCCCCCCCCCCCCCCCCCCCCCCCCCCCCCCCCCCCCCCCCCCCCCCCCCCCCCCCCCCCCCCCCCCCCCCCCCCCCCCCCCCCCCCCCCCCCCCCCCCCCTCTTTTTCTTCCCCCAAAACTTAGTTTGAACCAATAGTTGCTGAGATTAGCGCATAACAAACAAACTATTCCGACTTCCCAGGCTGAAACTATATGTATGTTTTCTAAAATTCATTCCTAGTTACCCAGTTTGACCGGAATCACACATGGTATCATATATAACGCATAACATGTGAATACATGTTAAATTTTGTGCACACAAGATAAGTGTGTGTATTAAATGCCATTATGCTAACTATTGCTGGGCCGCCTTTATTGATTAGAAATTCTGTGAAGCTATTACACAGCAATATCATACCGTTAGTATTGTTGCGATACTATTATGTTGTAATTGGAAATACTTCACACGGTGATAACATGAACCAATTTTCTGTATTATACAAGTTAAGTTTTGTATTATTACTAAAAGTAATTACTATTTAGCCGTTGGTGATAAATTGTCTATAGTATAATAATAAAGCTGAAGAGTTAGATTATTTTAAAGTGCTCATAAACTACTGGTTTGAATTAAATTACGTTTTTCGTTGGATAGACCATTTATCAAAGAAAGCTTTAGGCTATATAACATCACGCTACGACCAATACGAGTGAAGAAAAAGAGAGAGATTTAAATAAAACACTTTAACGGTTTAAAATGCAAATAAACGCGCGCGCCGTGAGGACCGTTGTGCAAAGCATCCGAAACATCGGGCCGAAGTTAATACATCATTTTCAAAGAAGTTTAACTAATATGTTGCGTTTTAAACCGCTTTAAAGCGTTTTATTTAAATGTGTGCACTACTCGCGTAAACTATAGACAATATTTAAAAAGAGGAAGACTGTAAAAACTAGGAAAGCACCTTTAATGCTGCCGTTTCGTGCACCACGAAAACGTTTCAAGAAACAAAAAAAAATGAAAGAATTATTCTTCTTTTAATTACCTATCAAAAAACTTGTTGGTGACGGTATTTGTCTATCTTTTAAGAATTACTCTCATGACCTACGGAACACAACGGATGTCGTCGATAACAGCTATACTTTAGAAAGGATATTTTTTGCAAAGACAATCAAACAAATAAAAAAGCCCCAAAATAACTATTCCACCAATGTAGTCGCCGGCATAGCTGGTTTTTACAAAAATACTTGACTATGACAATGGGAATAGAAGACCTTCATTTTACAAACCACGATCATGATCCTGATTCACGATAGCTAGAAATTATTAAAGATATTTTATTTCATTTATTCTCCACATTTCTTAGACGGATAGCGCAGTGGTGACTGGCAGCGGGGTTCAAGTGAATCCGAGGACTGGTTCAAGATTGAAAGCGGAAGTGAACTGCGATGGTGCACCGCCGTCTTCTCCTCGCTTCTCTCGCCACAACCACAACCACGTCAGTAAGTAAATGCGAGTATTTAAATAAATCGCTTTAACGGTTTAAAACACGATATTTCACATCGTTTTAATTACAGCCCGAAAATTAATATAAAATAATTTCCTAATAAGTTCAACTTATATAAATCGCATTTTAAACTGTCTCACACTATCCTTCTTATTCGTAAATAAAAAAAATATATCACAATACTTTTAAATTAATAATATACACGTGTCTGAACAATTGAATGTCTATTTAAGTCAACTTGATACCAAATTAGAAACTTAATATGCTATCTAAAAGCTATTGAAATTGTAAACAAACTAGCTTGTTTACCTTGAGGGCCTTTCAATCTCTTATTTTATCAAATTTTAATACTAGATAAAATACAATAATAATGTGTTATTTATGAAATAATTTTTACATTTAATATAATGTAAGTTACGAAATTGAAAAATAACTAAAATGGTATAAAACAACATCCTTTTTAGATATCTATTAAATTTTGAAAACATTATTATTTTTTCATTGTACATTTTTCTATTGTACGTAATTATGTCAAAAAAAAATTACACTAGCAAGATTCGAACAAGACTTTTTATTTATTGACTGCCTTAATAAAAATCAGTCTATATTTGACGTATACTTTGAAACCTTTTTATTCAATTTCATCTAAGACTTAAAAATCTACTAAAGAGTTATCACTTTTTAAGAACTCTCAATTATAATTGGACGATCTTATACCAAAGGCATTATTGCAACTTTTCGAAATTATTAAGAAATCACAACGATGGAAGTTGGTTAATTAACGACAAGCATCTATTGTTAAAGAAGAAGCAACTTCGAAGGAGGAATACAAATAGAAATGTAATAAGTCACAACCTACACACAAATTGATATTCTTTGTGAAACTCTTCAATTATTCCGATCGCAATTAATTGCAAGTAACAAAATTACTTGTCTTATGTATTTCATTTCAATTGTTACTTTCAAATGCCTGCTTTGGTATTGTCAAAGTGTCTCTACATACTATTTGGGACACTACTACGTAATTCATTTCGTGCATCTTTGGTTGAAGAATAGATTAAGATTATTTTTAATATTATTAACAATTTTTTTGTCACAATTACATTTAACCACTGATGTACTTTTAAAACTTTATGTTATTAACTTGCCTGCGACTTTGTCCGCGTAGAATATTTATTCTGGGCATCATATATTTTACTTCTCGAAACAACGTTTATATATTGAAGCTGGTATATAAACATATTTGTTGATTACTTCCACCGTTTTCGCAGCAGACGTAATTTGAGGGTTACATGCGCTGCAAAAACGGTTGAAATAATCAACAAATATTGATTGATAGATTAACCATTTTCTTACATTTACACCTCTGTTTTTCCTCCCATTTATCGCTGGCCTAAAGATTTTCACAATAAATGGCCCAATTAAAATAATTTAAAATTCGAACCAAACCCAGACATTTCTGAGATTAAAACAAACAAACTCTTCACCTTATACTATTAGTATTGATTACCAGGGTATTCAAACTGTGGTTTATTTCATAATTTATCCACGTAGAACACACTGCAGCTCACTAACAAGTACCTAACCAAAACAATAAATATGGACACTTAAGTCGAAATGTTCCGATAGTTGGCAAGTTTACTTTTGGTACAGCTACCATACTATGTTAAGTCTAGAGTATATTATATTATACAGTTTTTCGATTCGTCACTGCCACGGCTCAAATTAGGTATTTTGGAGACAAATTTTTTCGTATAATAAGTTTGACAGGACCAGTAAATATTAAAACACATTCAACGGTTAAAAACTCAAAATAAAGCAATTTTAACTGCGGCCCGACAATTCGATCGCTTTACCGTTTTCTTAAATTATATTTTTATTGTATTTATTTTGTGTCCAGATTGTGGGAATCTGGGGCCAGCTCCCGTACCGATTCCCGGAGGGGAAGTGGTATCTATGGGGTGTATTGGCGCTTGTCCCAGATGTGTCTGCTGTGGTTGCACCATACGAGAAGCAGCAACACGACACGAACAGCGCGTCGCGGCTAGTGAAAGGCTTGAGCGAGCTAATCTCGAGTGGAAACAGGTACAGAACAATTATCTACCTGAATTCATTTAGAAGGTAGTTATTTTTTTTATGATAGAGGAGGAGAGACAAGCATGGTTCACTTGATATACTTCAGCCTATAGCAAACAAGATACGCTGTCGACCTATTTTGGCTTTGGATATTTGGAAATCCACAGGCTGAAACCGAAACGCGATTAATTTTCACGGCTTTTTCATCTGTGGACTGTGGTTCGTGACCTGAGCGGAATTTTCGATATTCCTACCATCCATTTAGCATTCAGATTTCCAGACGAAGTCCAACACGTTTCAGAAAAAATATCAATTGAAAAGTTAGACCATGTTGGACCCGGTGGGGACCGAACCCACGACCCGTTGATTATTAGCCATTCATTACTAACATTACACTAACGAGCCGTAAATAAAACAACACCTTAATTGTTTAACACGCTAAGTATATTCCTAACTTAATTATAATTTATTTCTCATTTTAAATCGTTAAATATATTATTTTGAGTGCACTGCTGTATACTCATAAAAAAAAAAGTTTCAAAATAATTAATTACATATTAGATAGCTAGATCTGGCGATTTGGGATAAAATATTACCAGCAAGTTAGCGAGGCAGTTATTGATATAATAATTGAAGGAACATCACTAAAGACGTTTGAATATGAATTTATTGAACTACAAATATTAGATGTAATTTAAAAAGGACGTTAAAACAATAAAGCGAAGGGATCAAACGTTTTTCCGGATGCAGTGGCCTTAATTCAGGTTATTGGCACTTGGCAGCTAATCCAATTGAACCCTTCAGAAACACTACACTTCAGTTTATCTTGTATCGAAACGATAATACGGCCTAAGGCTTTGTTAAGGGATATTTAGGTTGCTTACGCGCTTAAAATTTCAGACTAAAACTGACTGAAAGTATCCACTCTTTTTTGTCGCGTTGCTGTTATAAAAGAAAAACGCCAAATCTAAATTATAACTAACCATACTAAACTATAAAACTATTTTCAGACTATGTCAAGTCACGTTTGTTTTTGATATATTATATTAATTATAAATAAATATATTGTCTATAAATACCGTACATAGTAAGATCGCTCTTAATTATGTGTATAATGTAAGTTACGCGTATAAGCAAGCATGGATAATGTTGAGCCTGAAGGGTCCAGGGTTCTAATTCTGCCGTAACAAAAATAGTTTAGGTCAGCAGGGCAGAGTAATCTGAACAAATACTAAAATTAATATTAAACAAAATTTCATTAGTATAAATAAAAAGATCGACTGCATTATATTCTTATACATATGTAAGTGTATATTAATAGGCATATACAAGTATTGCTTAGGTACAAAGCAAGAGCTGTGTTACTCGTCGTTACTTAAAATTGTAATTCCCTGGAGTTTTTTTTTACATAAAATATCTCGATTTAATTAATCAGCGTCAGTGAAAAATCGCGGACGTTAGATGAATAACGAGAGAATAATTTATCTGAGTTATAAATCAGTCTTTATCACAATTTCACCAGGCTGACGAAGACTGGCAGATCCTAATGCATTTTCCTTCGCTTCCGAATGACTTAGTATAAATTGCTTTGGAGAAATGGCACCAAAATAAACGGAGAAAAATATAATAAGGTTTTAATTCTCAGGTGGCCGTTGTTGCAGACCGCGCCCTACTTGCTGTGTTCGTTTTGGTAACTACCCTCGCTACAGGTGCAATACTTCTTCCGCAACTGAAGAATTTGCACGTGGGAAACACGCCGTTAAAACACCCGATTTAAAGACCGGAATTGCTTGAATAAGTCAGTACTCGCATACTGTCAGTATTGTATCCTCATAACTACAGATAATTAAAAGTGCCAAACGAGTGCCAACAGTTAACAATGTACGGTTATGCCAAAATTAAATTGAATTTATGGTATTTTTCTAATTTACTCTATTCCTAAATTGTCTATGTCCGATCCAATTCAAACACAAGAAGGCTTTTTGCGTCAACTGCACGTTGAATATACAATATACTTGACCGTTTAAATAACTTTCCAAATAAATAGTGTAATCGACGAAAAAGGGATGCGTCCTGAAAACCACGTGGTACGGTAGAAGTGAGGTAGTATCGTAGTACCATGGATCAATAAGGGAAATACACAGTAACTACCCTTTTCTTCTTCATGTCTTTAATCGTAATTCGCGTCCTCTTTATTACTTCTAATTATTTACAAAAGCTTTAATTTTAATATAATTTTGTGGAACATATGGTTAAGTATAGTTATGATTAGTAACTTATTAAGTCAATTCAAAGGATTGTGGTATACGCGTATATGAAATTGTGAAATAGGAAACATTTTCCGTTACCAATACAGCTGTTTATAAAATGTTGATATTATAGATTTGTAAGGAATACATTTTAGCTTTTTGTGTTATATCTGATACAGGTTTGCTGAATGTTAGATATTTTTGTAGTTTACTGATGAACATATGACGCTCGTTATTTTTAATCTGCAATCTGTTAATGGCATGTTAAAAGCTTGTAAATTTATAATTTGTTTAGTCTGTGTATTATTTAACATATTCGCTTATTTTATTTTTATGTATACATATGTTAAGGTTATACAATTAAGTTATATTAAAATGTAAATACAGTTATAATAAGTGTTAAATGTGCAATTAATCAAATCAAAAATTTCATGTAAACAGAACAGCTTAATGAAATAAAAATTATTGATAATGACGCTTTTCATTATAGATTTATGTAGTTAGTAGTTGAGATAAAATTAAAAAGAGATTTTATATTAAAAAAATAAATTGCGACATGGGCGGGACTTGAACCGGCATCTACAGTGTTCCGTGCTATTGCTCTAACGAATTGAGCTACCATGTCCTACAAGTCGTCGTTTTTTTCGACCCATTGATGACGAAGAATGCACCTCTCGCGCAATTTAAGATGATACTTAAGATAAAATCGTATTTTAATGGAGATTTTTAAAACGATGACTTAGCTCGTCTTAATTTTTTTCAAAAGCTTTTTGAGGGGAATTTTTTAAAGGGATGTCAAACTGATGACTTGATAACAGCGATGCAAGTCAGGGCGGAAAAGGGTTTTGACGTCACGAACCCTTCATTTTAATTCCTTAAAAAGAAAGTCATTAGATTAAGTAAGCTTTGAATGAGAAACAATCGACTCTGAAATAAAAAAAATACTTAGGACAAAGTAATAATTATTTAGATTAAGTTCTTTTAATACAAACATTTTTATAATACAATACCATCGGTTCTAAACCGACAAAGTTAGCACGTACAAAAATCAAAAAGCACATAAACGAATCAAATTAAAAACTTACTTTTTAAAATTCGTCAACAATTGATAATTTTAAACTCATAACATCATCAACTTGTAATATAGACAATAATTCCTTTTTTGGCCATCAAATTAATAGTCTACAATAAAAATCATAAGCACAGCTACTAGTTATTCTACAGATACTACATACAAACATGTTTTTTTTTTAATTCATTCAGGCTTTCAAATTTGATATTTGACTTTTTAACCTTATAATTTAACAATCGAAAATAAATTGAAAAAAATTTCGACTCGGGCAGAACTTGAACCGGCATCGTCAGCGTTCCGTGCTGTTGCTATCTTTTTTCAAACATTTTCTTTCACAAAGACACCACTGTATCGAATTATATATACTTATTTACTGATTTCAATTCTTCTTTTTGAGTTGGGTTGAACTAGAATTTATATAATGATCTGATTACAAACAAAAAAGGATTGTTCTTTTATACTTTGAGATAAAAAAAACTGGTATTTAGTACATATTATATCTCGTGTCGTGCTTTTTATTTGTAAAGTAAAAACCAAAAGTTCATATGATAGCTAAAATCCACGTAATATTGCCATCACAGATTATAATAAAAGCTCAGATTAAAAATCGTTAATATCAAAGCTTCATTATGAGAATTGCTCGTTGTAACAATCGTGACATACTGAATGAGTTCTTGTGACTCTTGTGGATCACGTACGATTAAAAGATTAACTGAGTCTTTAATTAAACCTGAATATTGAACCTTTGAAAATTATTATTTAATGAGAATTAGTTATATGTCTTTGAGTATTATAATAAATGCTTCAGAAAAACACCAAGGATAAATTAATGCTGCAAAACTAAATATCGACAACATTTGTCTTCATGCAGCCTCTTTGTTTCGATTCCCATCAAGTGTGTAAAACAGATTTAGATTTTAAAGTTAAGTAAATATTGTGAATTTTCAACGGGTGGTACACATATAGAAATGCTGTCCAAACAAGCCGTCGAAAACAAAACAAAAATAAAAGACAAGAAACAAAATGAAAATCCTGAAGACTGAAAACCAAGAAAGGCTGACATTTCCAGCTGTGAACCAAAAATTTTTTTTCTGTATGTCAGAAATTCGTTTGCTTTATTTATATAATTAATTTAGTATAACCTATAAGAATACATATAAAAATGGGCATTTATCTGACATTTGATACTTTTACATGTCCCTTTTCTTCCAATAACATTTTCCTCTTTCTTTTGTTCACGTGAATAGGTCTAGATTACATCTCGAACAATGTGAATCTTTACATTCAATAAATTGTCGGTCGAAAGGACCGGCTTATATTACATACAATTACATGTCTTAAGATGAAAGCACCTTTCTTTGAGAGTCCCGTTGGTTTCCAATTTTCCCTTTTTACAACCAATTGTTCCTACAAAAATGAATTTTAATAATCTTTGATTTAGTATACGTAATGTAACCTAAAGAAAGCGTGTAGCGTTGGTCGTTTCTTATATGAATCTAAATTAATTTCATAAATTCGCTCTTGGTCGTACACAAAAACATTTAACTGTTTCATTATTTTCTCTCCGGAGAATGAAAACATCGTGAGGTTAGGAATAAAAATACCATGTCAATTGTTGGGATATTATGGTTTTCTTTTCTCTCAGGACGCCTGAATATATTGGCCACTGCTGGGACTGCAGAGACCCAGACTCCTCATAATATCTACGAAAGAAGGCTTAAGACGTCACAACAATAATAAACGAATTAGGCAAAACGTCATTATTATTTGGAATAAGATTGCGTAACTAAATAGTCACAAATGAGTTTATCTATTTTTGCTTTATATAGAAAAGAATACGTTTATTCTGAAACAACGTTTATATTTAAAACTGAATCTAGTAAACAATATCTAGAAGTAAATAAAAATTAAATTTTAATTTAAACTAGCTGTGTCAGCGACTTCGTCCGCGTAAAATATAATTTTGGGTATCGTACTTCGCTCCTATTGGTTGAAGCGCGATGTTTAATTGCCTATAACCATCATCGATAAATGCTCTAACCAATCTAAAAAGATTTTTTCAATTCAAACCAGTAGTTCCAGAGATTAGCGCGTTGACACAAACAAACACTTCATCTTTATATATTAGTATAGATTAAATATGATAATATAGCTGCCTCTGAAAAGGAAGCCACTCAGCTACATTGGCCAATCAACAACACTGACATTCTGTGGCCCCTTCAGAGGCCGAGCTAAAACATGCGAGATTGTTTGAAAATTTTCTATTAAACTTACACACTAACGGTATTAAACTTATACATAGAAATTATAATAAACTATAGTCTTATAAATATAGGTAGGTATATACAATACTTGCCTTTAGGATTAATATACGCAAGTTGAAATTTAATAAATATATATTTAAATAAAATTACTTCTTTTTTCAAAATTTATATCAATAAAAAGTAACAGGTAGGTTACTTGAAACAAAGAGGTACGGAACACTGTGCGAGAGTTCGTCATGCACTGGACGAGTTTATTTAATCGTTTTATAATGACAGAGTGGTTTTTTGTCCGTCGTGTTATCACTATATCAAAGTTCCAAATGAAGGATTAAACAAAACTAAACGATTAGCCGAATGTAATCCGCAAAAACTATGTAGATCGCCTTACACGGTTTGTTGATTGGTCTCTATGTTACAAGGAAAATTTGGCCCGCCTGGCTTCTACAACATTTAGCTACGGGCCGTGATTACAAAAGATCAAATTAAAAACTCTTGACCCATTTGTTTGTTGACGAAGGTTACCAAGTGTTCTCTTGGGAATACAAGTGGGTGAATTTTTATTAAAGATATTATTAAGAAAATTGAAAGGAAATTTTGTTAGAAATAGCTTCATTGAAATTAAAGGGCCGTTCTCAAAAAAATTACGTTTCTTTTTTTTATTTATGACTAATTTCATGCAAATATATGTTATTGTGTCCCCCTGATAAAAGAAAGACTTGCATCTTATTAGCATAATGAGTTAATACATTTTATCTACTGAAAACGTAGTACAAAAAAATTGTAATCTTCAAGGCTATTTGAGTCATTGGTTTAAGGTAGCCATGGGTGATTGATAAACAACGATTTCGCGATTTCGATTCCATCGCGATCCAACATTAAATTAAAAAAAACTGGATATTAAGTTCGTGGTAGGTATATCGAAAGTCAGATTAAAATAGCGTTTCACTACCAGTCTGTTTACCAATACCCAAAGACCAAATAGTTTGACAGCACAACTTGTTTTAATGTTGTATGGCTGGGTATTACAATGTACATTCTCTGTGCTTGTCTCTCCTCCTCTGTAATGAAAAAAAATCTTTCTTCTACAGACCATTGGAAAAAAATAATAGTAAGAACGCGTCACATATTCGAGAAAATGTTATTATCTTCCCTCCCGAAAACGTTCAACAGCTTGCGTATATTTGATATAATG